AGTTATGGGGAAGACTTCTACTTGCTCCAGAACCCTGGGAGCTATTCTTGACTCTCCTACTTTCTTCATATCAATTACTTAGCAAATCCTATAGTTTCCACTGCCTCCACCTGGTCCAGGTCACCAGCATCTCTCACTGGGGTTCCCGCAGAGGCCTCCTTCCTGGCCTCCTGCTTCTATACTTGTTCTCTACAGTCCATCCTCATCACTGTCCAGTGGTTTCCCATTTCACCCTGAGTGAAAGCCTAAGTCCTTATATTGGGTTGTAAGACCCTATATGATCTTTACCAAACTGGCTAAGAATAAGAAGTTTGATAATACTCAATGGTATGGAAGATATGGGAGACAGTTCCACTCATATATTATTGGTGGGAGTGTAATTTATTAATGTCTGTAAAAAATTTAAGTTAGGTATAATCTATGACCCAGCAATTCCATTTATAGGAATTTATCTTGTGGAAATAAACAGGTGACCCAAGATATATGTTCACTGCAGTGCTGTCTGTCATAGCAAACAAATAAATATGGTGTGTCACACAATGGTTTACCATGTACAACAGGGGAGATTCATGTTCTTTGGAAAGATCACCAAGATTATATTATTGAGTGCTAAAGTGAAGGAGCAGATCAGTAATTATAGGATAATCCCACTGTCTAATAAAAGGTAAAATATAAAACATGTTTGTGTGTGTGGCACTTACAGAATATCTGAAAGGATTACCAATAAACTCAGGTTGTCTGTGGAGTGAAGCTGCAAGGTCAGATAGAAGAATATTCTTCCTTTACCTTGTGTAACATTTAACCTCAATTACTTTTTTAAAAACCATGAACATATGCTTTTATAATTTGTATGTCTTCAATAATTTTAAAAAGTTGTGGGTGTTTTTTTCTTTTTTTTTTTTGATACAGAGTCTTGCTCTATTGCCCTGGCTAGAGCGCAGTGGTGTCATCATAGCTCACAGCAACCTCAAACTCCTGGGCTCAAGCAATCCTCTTGCCTCAGCTTCCAGAGTAGCTAGGACTATACGTGTGCACCACCATGCCTGGCTAATTTTTCTATTTTTATTAGAGACAGGGTCTCACTGTTGCTCAGACTGGTCTCGAACTCCTGACCTCAAGTAATCCTACTGCCTTGGCCTCCCAGAGTGCTAGGATTACAGGCATGAGCCCCCACGCCCACTCAATAATTTAAAAAAGTTTTTAAAAAATTCTTCCCCATCCTAAGATCATAGAAATGCTCATCTATATTTACTTAAAATTCACGTAGCTTTAAATAAATTATTTACATGCTTGAATTAACTCACATAAGTATTACAGAATGAGGGTATATATCTAGAGTTTCTTGCAGAGCATAATTACTTCTTTTTTGAAGAGTCTTGCTCTACTGCCCAGGCTGGAGTGCAATGGCACAATCAAAACTCACTGTAGCCTCCAACTCCTGGGCACAAGCAATCCTCCAACCTCAGCCTCCTGAGTAGCTGGGACTACAGGTCCACACCTGGCTAATTTTTATTTTTAAATTTTTTTTGTAGAGATAGGATCTTGCTATGTTGCCCAGGCTGGTCTCAAATTCCTCGCCTCAAGTGATACTCCTGCCTTGGCCTCCCAAAGTGTTCAGATCATTGGTGTGAGCCACCATGCCCAGTCCAAACTTTCTGATCAGGAAAACAAAACATATTATTTGTAGAAAATCTAGAAAAAGGTAAAGAAGGAAATAAAAAACACTAGCAACCCAGAGAAAACCTTAGTTAACATTTTTAGGACATTTTCTAAAAAAAGGCAGAGTATCCACTAAAGTGGAACCTGAATCCTTGTCATAGTCTTTTGCTAATGCCTTGATGCCATTTGGGAAGATGAGGTGAGGTGGTCTGGCAGTTTTGGCTTCTTCTGTTTGGGAAACCCAGAGGAAAGGGTCTTGCACAATGGGAAGGCAAACATTCGCTCATCGTCCTTGGAGAAAACAGTGAGGTCCCTTACTTAACTCTGTAAGCAGATATTACAAACTGACATAGGAAATGTTTTGCCCTAGTAAAGATCAAGTGGTCTGTTAGCCAAATGCCTCCTTTAAGTGCAAGAAGAAATCAGTTTCTTAGGAGTGTGTTTAAATTCACCTGCATGTCCCCCTCCACAGAATTATTTCAGATGGAATACTGGGTCTGCGTAGAGGGCACACAGAGGTAGCTGGGCTGTGGGGTGGCCAATCTGGGCCCAGCAACCCTTAGCAGCATCCTGGGGGAATTAGGAAGAAGAGCTTCCCACCTCGGAACAGTTGGTAGGGATGGGCTGCCTCCAGGCACCAGGTGTGACTAATGCTACCTGCCTTGCCCTGGTGTCCGACAATGGGACATTTCCTAAGGGCCACCTTGCATTTGCAAACACCAGAGAACAGAGACTGGCAGCAGACTGATCAGCCCCTGGTGATAAGAATGTGGATAGGCCCTTTGGTCTCAGCTAGAGGAAGGGAAGTCCAGAATCAAACTTACCATGCAAAACTTTCCCGTAAAGAAAATAGGAGAGATACCCTGCAGGCAAACAATTCCGTTCTAACTAGAAAATGAGGTAATCCATCAAGTTCAAGCAGAGAAGAGGCCTCGAAAAACCAAGAAATAAAAAGTTGGAAGGAGGTAGGCTCAAACTCAAATTCCTGGGCTCAAGGGATCCTCCCATCTCAGCCTGGTGGCACCACCATGCCTGCTTCAGTCTGGTTTTGAGCCCACCTGGCAAGAGGCAGAGATTTGCAGTTTCATATTCCCTTTAAACCCATAAAAGCAGAAGGGATAGTGGAACAGGAGCCTGGAAGTAGAAGATGGAGGTAAGAATATGAGATCCTAACTTTTAAACAAAACCAAAACATCTGACTTGACCCTCTCTAAGTCTTGTTAATTTCCTCAATGATGACATTAACCAAGGGAAACAGGAGGGAGAGAGGCAAGGTGGGGGAGGTTAGAAGAGCGGAATGCTAAGGAGAGTATCTGGCCAACATGACCAACTGGTCTGGCCTAACTTAAGTCCTTTTTTTTTTTTTTCCTGAGACAGGGTCTCATCTGTTGCCCAGGCTAGAGTGTCCTGGCATCACCATAGCTCACTGCAACTTCAAACTCCTGGGCTCAAGCGACCCTCTTCCCTTAGCCTCCAGAGTAGCTGGGACTGAGCACCACCATGTTCCCCTAATTTTTGTAGAGACAGGGTCTTGCTCTTGCTCAGGCTAGTCTCAAATTCTTGGCCTTAAGCAATCCTCCCACTTTGGCCTCCCAAATTGCTAGGATTACAGGTGTGCGCCACTGAGCCCAGCCCTAATCTTTATATGGGAAGAAAGCCAAAGTACAGAGATGGAATGAAACTTTCCTGACAAAACCAGACTGAAGCCAGGCATGGTGGTACACACCTGTATTCCCAGCTGAGGGAGCCTGAGGTGGAAGGATCACTTGAGCCCAGGAATTCGAGTTTAGCCTGAGCAACTAGTGAGATCTCTGTCTGAACACAAAACAAATTCCAGATTCGGTGGCTAAGACAAGTCTTGACTTTCAATCTAGTGTTCTCAAGCCCTGCCCATTAGGAATGATCCACAGGCCAAAAAGAAAGAAAGAGATGAAAGTGCAAGTAGAAGAAAACAAAGCTACTCAAAAAGGAACCACTCCTATCAGGCTCCATCACTTCTCCACCTTGAGCAATCGTCGATTTTTCTGAGCCTCAGAGATGCTGCTGCTTCCTAGGCAGGGTTATGGCAGGGGTTAGCGGTCTTGAGGCTGGTTAATACGATGACAAGTGTTGATTTTTTACTTATTCATTTTTTGAGGCAAGGTCTCATAGTGTTGCCCAGGCTGGAGTGCAGTGTTGTCATCATAGCTCACTTCAGCCTACAACTCCTGGCTTCAAGCTATCCTCCTGCCTTAGCCTCCCAAGGTGCTAGGATTACAGGCGTGAGCCCCCTCACCCAGCTGGTAGATGTTTATTTTAATGAGGAAGTTATTTCGCTGCTCTCAGTGCACTGGGGGCTGGAGAGACACTGCTAGAAGCCAGTATAAAGGGAGGTACTGACACCCTCCCCAGGTCCAACTCTCTTTGGTCTGGTCAGAGGAAAAACTGGTGTCCAGTGGAATAAATGAGTTTTGAGTGGACCCAGCAATAATTACTACCCAGGCATCCCTGACCCCTGGTTCAGCTAGTCTGTGGTGCCAACACAGAGGGGGACATGTTGTCCACATGTCTATTACAGAGCCTCTACCTCTCATTCATGAACTGTTCAGAGTCCCTGCCACAAGTCCAGGGGTTCCAAGCATGCGTGCTGCCTTAGGTAGCCTTCCGAGCTATATGTTGTGGGGAGGTGGCAAGCGTAGGCTGTGTCAGGTGGTGCTCTGGACAAGTCATGCTACACTTTGCAGCCTGGGCAAGAAGGAGGCCTCCCTAGGCCTGACCTGACTGGCCAATGTGAGATGGGCTGGAGGGCTGTGACCACCCCATGGCTTTCTTGTGCCATGGCAGAGAATCTGAAATAAGCCCTGGAGGCCTGGACCCTACCTTACAGCCTCATTTCTGCCCTGCCCTTCCTACACTGGGAGTTTCAGAGCCACAAGAACTTCTAGTTGAAATGTGAGGCAGAAATAGGGGCGAGAGGACTTGGGGGAAGCCTAGTGTTTGAAGAGAGGTTAGAAGGTGGCAACAGGGTGAGACCCAGTTGTGCCTTGCTTCGCTATGTGGCAACAGGAGGCCACAGTTAACTCCATCCAGCCCCAGTCCCTGAAGCTCGGAGTTTGCATGTCCCACCACTGGCCTGTGTGGGGCTTGAGTGCATGTCCACAGTAGCTGCCCTTTGCCCTGCCCAAGCCCAAATGCCACTCCAGAACTATGCAGGCCCCACTTCCCCAGCTCTGTCACCTTCTAGGGTGACTCTAGCCAGTTCCTCTGACAAGGGAGCCTGGGGTTCTTCAACCTGGCACCCATGTGATTTCTGCCCACCTGTCCACCCTTGAGTTCTCCCACACAACAGGCGGAGTCAGGGGCAGGGAGGGGCCTCCACATTTTATTAGGGGTACGGCAGAAGCAGAGGCAAGAAGCAGAGCAGCCGCGTTTTAAACGACAGATAAATTAACCGCAGTGTGGAGATTGGGGGTGGAGACTGGGCCAGGTGCTTTAATATAAAAAAAAACACAACAAAAAGGACAGACAAACAGACCCCAAAGAAATGGGGCAGGGGAGGGCAGCACCATCCAAACAGCAGGGAGGACCAGGGCAGAGAGAGAAGGCAACTTGTCCCTCGCACCCCAAACTCCACCAACACAGGGCCTCCAGGATGGCCCCCTGCGTGGGGCTTTGGGGCAGAGATGGCACAGCTGGCGGGCGGGAAGCCCAGCACCACGAGATGGCTCAGCCTGAAGTGGGAGCTGGCGGGCTGGGACACAGCAGCCTCAAGCCCCCATCAGAGAAAGAGCCTTAGTCTGGGTGAGAGAAGGGACCAAGGGTGGGGTCTCTCCCTGAGCTGAGCACGCCATCTCATCCACAGCAGCGGTGGGCAGTGGGGTGTGCCAGGGACCCCCTTTGCCTTCTTATCCACCTGCCTCCTTGGTCCCTTCAGGGAGGGGCCCCACTGGCTCCGAGGGGGTGGGGCATGAGGAGAGCCGGTCCAGTCTGTGGTCCTCAACTCCAGAGGGGGCTGTGGTATGGCGCAGCCCCTCAGCCCTGACTCCCACAGGAGGACAGCGAATCATACAGTGAGTCGCTGAGCGACTCTGAGGTCTCCAGCCCTGGAGGGCCCCCGCTGGCCACTCTGCCTTCTTCACCCATGTCCGACGTGCTGGGGGTGCGGCTACCTCCAAAAGCCGGGCCCTGGGGCGTAGGGGATGGGCGGCTGGGCTCCTGGCTCTGCTTCCGGTCCACGGGCAGGGCCTGGGGAAGGAGGGGCAGCTTGGGAGGAAGCTCCTCTCCACCTCTTAGCCCCGCTGAGGCACCCTGGGCCTGGGGGGCACTGCCCACTGACGGCGGGTGCTACGGGAGGCCTCCAGGGTAGGGCACACCTCAGAGGAAGTAGGCTGGAACAACTAAGCACAGTCCTACCATGGTCCTGGGGAGGGACAGGAACCCCTTCCCTAGGAGAGGTAGGTGTGTGAGCAGGGTGGGTGGGGGGGCTGCCTGAGGGGCGCCCAGGGGGGAGATCCCTCAGTCCCCGACTGCACAGCACTGGGCCAATGCTGTGCTCCGCTGGAGAAACTGGTCTCCCCGGACCACTCCCTCCTGTCCCCCACCCTGTTCCCTTTCCCCTTGTGCAATTCTCACCATGGGGGTCCTGGGCAGCCCCTCCAGTTGTCGGGGTGGGCATAGGAAAGGGTCCGAGGAGCTGCCAGCTGCCCTCGTGTTGGGGAAGGTCCAGTTCTTGGCCAGCTGGACAGGAGGGGTAGGGCCTGGATCTTCACAGGGATCTGTCCAGGGAACAGGGGAAGGTGGATGGAGCTGTCTAGGTCCCAGGGACGGTCCCACCCTCCCACCTGGACACTCACCATCAGGACAGGTCTGATGGCCCCGATGGCCCGGCGAGGCGGTGAGCAGCGCAGGGAAGGCCGGCATGCTGGGGTGCCGCCCGCTCACCAGCAGCTCCTCTATGCCCGGCACCTCCCGCTCCAGCGTGTGCGCGCGGCGGGGGACTTTGGTAAGGGGTGGGGGCCGAGCCGGGGGCACCCCAGGTGGGGGCTCTAGCCGTGGTGGCTTGGTTTTGGGAAGATTCTTGCTGGGGGTCCCACTGCTGCCATGGTCTGGGGGTGGGAAGGTCCCAATGCCACTGTCCAAGGTTCGAGTCAAGGAGCCGCAGGCTGGGGAGGGGAAGGCAAGTCAAGGGTGAGGCTGGGCTCAGCCCCTCCGCCCTCCTCCTGCAGCTGCCCACCCGACCAGGCTGTACCCGACTCAGGGCGCTCCTGGGCCAACAGGCCCATTCCACTAATCAGCCTAGGGGGGCGGAGCAAGCACCAAGGGATTTGTTTCTGTGCAGCTGCAGTGCCCTTGGCACCAAGATGGCACCCAGAACCTGGAACCTGCTGTAGTGACAGGAGGAGTGGAGTGGGCAGGGGGTGAGGGGCAGGCCCCATCCTCGGCTGCTGGCCCTGCTGACCTGTGAAGTGGGAGGTGGGCACTGGCTCGGCCAGGCTGTCCTCTGAGGGCATCTCTTCCCGCCTCCCCGGCTCGATGCTCGGCTGTGGGGAGTACAGGAGACCTCAGAGTCCAATCCCATCCTACCCCAACCCCTCCCCTTCCTCCGCGGAGTAGGAATATGGGTATGGGAATGTGGGGGTAGGAGCACTGGAGCCCCTGCAGTATGGGTCTGACAGTCCGCGCAGACTCCCCTCCCTAGTCCCCCCTTGGAGACCATGAATGCATCCAGCAGCTTCCAGGCCCCAGGGAAGGGGACCCCCTGGAGGATAAGAGACCTGGCAGGGCCAGAGAGCCAGACACCTCTACCCAATCCTGCAAGAACTTACCTTTCCAGGAGCTTTTCCACAGCCCTGAAGAGGGCCCACCAGGCCATTTCTGGGCCCACAGGCTGGCCAAGGGCTCTTGGGGTCAGAGGACACTGACTGGAAATCCCCATACTCAGGCTTGGGCTCCCGCCAGCTCTTGGGCGGCAGCTCCTTGCCATCCACCCTAGAGGCAATGGTGCAGATGAAGGTGAGGCAGGCCCGGGCCCGCCCGCACATCCCAGCCTTGTACCCTCCAATGGTGCTGGGCCTAGGGACACACTCACTGCCACCCTCCCCTGGGGAAGGGGATGTATTACTGCTGGTCATTACCACCAACATCACTGGTGTTTACAGGAACATCAGCAGACACGGTCATGCCCTGGTCCACATGCAACACACCCTGCTGCCCCAGCCGCACTGCTGCTGCGCATGCTCACTGTCCAAACCACACACCCGACCTGAGGCCTGATTCCTGTGGACTTCCTCTGCCTTATCTGGCCAGATAGAGCAACCCAAAGGATGGGTTCCCTTACTAAATGACAGCTCCCGTTGTGCAGGTGCCAAAGGGCAAGATGGGAAGGGGGCCCTCCTTGTCCCTTTCCTGAGAAGACCTTCATCACCTGATAGCTAGTATCTAGATTCACGTAACTATGGCTACCTCATATGACATGGAGATGACCCAGGAAGTTGTGGACTATTAACTCTTCTCAAATGAGACTGGGTCTCAGCAAGCCCGATGTCAGAGAGTAGTGAGGGGAGGAGCTGGGATGTAAATCCCTGACTTCTGATTCAAGCCCCGGCACCCTCCTCCAGGCCAGGTTACTAACCCTGAGCCACTTCAGTGGCATCCTTCCCCTTCTGACCTCTGAGAAGCCCAAGCTCCCAGGACAGGCAGGCTCAGCTGCAGACCCCGGTGTGCCCACAGAGGGAAAGGTGCCCCCACCCCAGCAAGTGCCTGCTGACTGGTCCCAGGCCCTCACCTATTGAGCAGCTGTTGCATGAAGGTGTCGGCACCCTGGTACACGCCGGCTAGCTGGCCCTGCACCTGCCCCAGCCCCGTGCTGGGCCCTGAGGCTGGGACCCCAGGCCGTGGCCGGGCCCTGCTGCTCAGGTAGGCCTTCTCCTCCTCCAGTGCCCGGCGCAGGTCCTCCGCCTTGGCCATCAGCTTGGAGATGTTCAGGCTCTCAGCCTCTAGCTTCCGGGCTTCCACCTTGACCTCCCTGCGGAGCGGGGAGCCCCCGCCAGCCCCTTCCTTGCTCTTGGTGGCCTCTGTGCGGCGGTTCAGTGCTGGCAGCTTGCTCTTCTTAAGGCCAAACCAGCTGGCGATGCTGCTGGTGTTGCGGTGCTTGGTCTCAGTGCCTGGGGCCCGTTCCTGGCCCTGAAGCCGCAGCACATTCTCCTCAATGCCCTTCATCACCTTCTCCTCGATGGCCGAGTGTGGGGCCAGCCCCTCGGGGCCGTGGCTTGGGTCTGCGGGGCCAGGTACTGGGGGTGTGGGCTGGGCAGTGGTGCCGCCACAGTCTGCCCATGGTGGGCCCCTCCCCTTGTCAGGCTTAGAGGGCTCCTTGGTGACTGGGGGGGCCCCAGGTCGGGGCACCACCTTGGTGGGTGACTTGGAAGGTAGCTTTGTAGGGCTGCTGTGAGGGCTCTTATTGTGCTTGCCCAGGCTGGGGGCTGAGGTTGGCACTTTGGCAGGGGTACGGGGTGCCTGAGGGCACAAGGCCCCTGCCAGCCGGCTCTTGGCCAGCTCTACTTTGGTGAGGCAGCTCCTTGGTGAGACAGGCTCCAGGTCCACCCGGGCCCCCATGGAGTGGGAAGAGTAGATTCGACCCCCAGGATCCCCGCTGAGTCCAGGTTCCTGCTGCTTCAGGCTGTTTGTGCCTAAGGCCACTGCCCCCCGTAGGGCCCCCTTAGTTTCTGGCTGCTCAGGGGGCCTGGGGGGCACCATGTCTCCAGCATTCTCCCCTGACCTCCCAGGTGCCCGGGCCTTCTCAGAGCCAGGCTTAGCTGGCACTCCGTTCTTCTCTGGGCCCAGGGGCCCCTCGGGACCTGTCTTCAGCTTCCCCAGGGCTACCAGTCTGTCCCGCAGAGGCGTGTTGCCAGGATCCCCAGGCCGTCGCCCTGACCCCTGGCTGGGCTTCTTGGATGAGTTGCCTGGGGTCCTGCGGCCAGGATGGGGAGACTCCGAGCCTGCCTTGTCCAAACTCTTCTCCTGGGGGTAGGAGTAGGACTCTGGGAGGCAGGGGCTGGGGGGGACTCCAGGGCTTCTGAGGGCCTCGGGGGCCTGTGGTACCTCCAGAGTCAGCTGTGGGTAGGTGGGCACCTGCAGTGGGGATGGAGGTGGCTCTGGGGAAGGGCCCCGAAAGGTGCTCCGGGAAAGGTCCAGGATGTTCTCATAGCAGGGAGATACCACCGGGCCTGGGGATAGCGTGGTAGACAAGGCTGGCGGGGGAGGTTTGAGCTGTGCAGAGTCCGGGGTTGCGGCGCAGGGTGACGGGCTGGGAGGCAGGCCCTGTGCGGCCTCTGGGGACAGCTCTCCTCCACCCAGACCCCTGCGGGCCAGGAGTGGGGAGGGGCTACCGTCTGAGCCACTGTTCCGACAGGGGATTCGGGAGTTCCGGGGCAGCTGGGGACTGAGCTGGGGGCCTCCTGGGCTGGGGACCTTCTCTGAGGCCGGAGGCAGCTTTAGGAACTTGAGACCTCTGGCTGGAGAGGGCAGAAGAGGTCCCTGGGCTTCCCCAGGAGAAGGGGGGCCAATTTGGAGCTTGCTTTTCACCTGAGATGAGGAGTGGGGGTGGCCAGGCCGCGGGCCCAGTGGGGCATCCCCTGTACCCATGAACATGCTGAGGAACGGGAGGGGCCCCTGGCCCTCTGAGGTAGCACCAAAGCCCGGCCTCTGGGCCTCTGGGGTACCCCCACCCCAAGCTGACTTGGGGAGGCCTTTGGACTTGGACAGCTGTGGGGGCCCCTGGTCTGGGGAGGATGGCTGCCTGGGACCCGGGTGGTCCCCGTTGAGTGGGCCTGCAGCCCCGGCCAGGAAGGCCTGTAGGTAAGACTCTGTGTCCTCAAGGAGCTGGCCCAGGTTCAACTGCTTGCGGGCCAGGGCACCAAGCAGGGTGTCAGGGCTGGGTGCCTCATTGGGGTCACCTGCCTCATCAGAAGAGGAGGAGGAGCTGCTGCCTGGGACACACTGTGGGCCAGAGCTGGTACCCTGGGCCTGGGGGGGTGCCCTGTTAGGGCCCCAAGGCTGCCCAGTACCCTCTTCCCCACCTGGGCCCCCCAGGAGGCGCTCCCAGTGCAGCAGGCCGCCCAGGCTACCAGGGCCCAGCAGCAAGTAGGGGGCCCAGGGTGAGGGCTCAGGCTGGGGTGGGCCACACAGCTCGCCGTTGATGGGCTCTGGGGAGCCAGGACCTTGGCCTGGAGGCCGCCAGGGGGTGGCAGGTGAGCACAGAAGCAAGGGGTCAGTCTCTTCCAGGGCTCTCAGCACCTCCAGAATCTGGGCTTTCTTCCGAAGGAACGGGGACAGGGCATCCAGCGCTGAGGGTGGGGCGGCTGGGGGACCTGGGCCTCCTGGCCTCAGCTGCTGCTCCCAACACACCTTGGGGGAGAGATGGCATGAGAAGGAGACCATGTGCAGCTGGGATCCTGTTCCAGGGCTAGGCTGGGCATAACTGGGTAAGCCAGGAACAGAGCTGGCCTGGTTGTATCTGTGTCCCCAAAACGAATTCACTGCAACTCAGATATGAAAGCTCAGCTTCCTCAAGGGTTGCTGAGCCCTGGTTACCCCAACTCTTCTTCCTGGCACACTTGTGGTCAGGTAAGCATTCCATATCCCTTTCTTGACTATCCCAGCCCCCTACTCCCCACAGCTGTTTGGATCAGCAGGGTTGACGGCCTGTAACTCTCACCGCTATGCTTGTCCCAGGGGAGGAAGGCCTGTCTTCCTATTTCTCAGGCTCCAGAAAGAACACGTAAGGAGAGGGTATGATGTGGCCAAGTCCTAAGTCAGTCACTGTGGGCAAGCCCAGTCCCTCTCAGGTCAGACAGCTGGCCCTGCTGACCGGATCCCCAGCAGGAGAGGGGATTGGGGGTGACTCCATGCAAATCCTTTCCTGCTGTTGCCTAACCCCTTCTTGTGTGTACTTAGTCTGGTACAGTGGTTAACTACATAGGCTCTGGGGTCAGACTGTGTAAGTTCAAGTCCCAGTTCTATCTAGCTACATGACCCTCTGCAAGTTATCTGACCTGTAAGTTACTTCATTGTGTCATCTGTAAAATGGGATAGTAATTACATTTAACTTCTTAAAATAAGACAACATCCAAGGTGTTCCACACAGTGCCTGGCATGGAGCAAGAGCTCATTAAGTGTTAACTATGACTCTCCGTGCATTACTAATGCATTTGTTCATAGTGCCAGTGGGTGGTGGTGGGGATCTGTTTTTCTTGGCATGAGGCCGACAGCTGGGGGCTCACACTTCCAGCCTGGACAAGACTGTGTACACTGGGAAATACCCCTTCCCTAGGGGCCCGTTAGGAAACAGCAGCGGCCGGCAGTGCTGACGAGGCCTCTAGCTGGTGAGGCCACAGACCACTGTGCCCAGCTCTCCTACCTCTCTCTGTCCGACGCAGTGCCCCAGAGGCAGTGAGGCGGCTGGTCCCTCAGTGGAACTTATTAAGGAGGGGGAGGCTGGTGGCTCTGATGGCGGCTGCAGCGGGGTGAGTGGGATCTGAAGACAGAGAGGCACAGTGAGCAAAGTAGCTATCTGGCCCTGGGTCCCTGCGCCCTCAGGAAGCCAGGTCTTCCCAGTCAAGTGTTCTTCAGGGTCTCTCCTGGCCAAGGTGCAGCTCTTGCTGCTGTCCCCACCCACTGGTAAGACGAGCCTCAGAACACAGCACAGGTAGATTTGAAGATGGTGCAAGCCGAGGTGCCAGGGAGTAGGACTGGTCAGAGGACTTTGGAGAAACAGGAATAACCCAGGCCCAGAAGGCAGTGGCAGGTTTAACCCAGGGCACCCACGCCAGCTCCAGGTCTGCTCTACTTTTCTGTGGGGCTCCTCCCCTATTACAAAGAGGGCTACTGCAAAGGTCCCTTCCAGCTCTGACTACCTGTCATCCAAGGATCGCAAGGATGGCTGAGACTAATGGTCTTAGATGTTCTTAGAAAAGAGATGGCAGGGAGCTATCATTTATGTCTTCCCCTACCTGGTCTCATGTGAACCATCTACTCTGAGGATTGCAAAAGTAAGATTTATTTATTTATTTATTTTTCTTTTCTTTCTTTCTTTTTATTTTAGTGTATTATGGGGTACAAGTGTTAAGGTTACGTATATTGCCCATGCCCCCCCTTCCCCCCCAAAATAAGATTTAATCATGGGCCCTTCTCTCTCAGTCCCTGAGAATGTGATTTCCTTCTCCCAGGCATCACAATTAGATATAAGTCAGATTTAACTTTTCCCTCTCCCTCGTTCTCTGCAGCCTTTAAACCCCGTCTCTACCTCCCCTCTGGCCAGCTGCAGCTGGCTCCTTTAGCCCAGATTTTTCCTCCCTGGCCTGGATGCCCTCAGCAATAATCAGTCTCCTTGACCTACTTTGATGGCCTTTCAATCTTCCATGTACAAGGCAGCCTAAAGCATCTTTTTCTTTTCTAAAGCATCTTTGTGCTCAAAAGCCTCCTGTGCCTGCCCCTTGCCCATGGAAACAAGTGTGAACTCCCCTGCAGGCATTCCGGGCCTGGCCTGCCAACTCCTCCCCGGTCACTGGTTCTTGCCCTGACGTTTTCTCCAGCTTTCTCTCCCTTGCTGTCCCTTCACATGTCCTCTGCTCCATCCAAGTTGAACAGCTTGCCACTCCCTAGGCCTCCCTGCCTGTGGATCTTTGCTTCTGCTGCTCTTTCCACAGGGAATCCCCTCTCCCCAGCCCCTATGCTACTCTTTTTAAATCTTCCACTCGTCAAGGCCTTGGTCTAATGTTATCTCCTTAAAGGAACCTTTCTCAGCCATTGTCTGAAGGCCTCTCCCTGCTGCCCCCTGGACTCCTGGACATTCTTTGTAGCTGCATCAGCTCCCAGCCATCCCAGCCTTCCAAGGTCATGTTTGCCCTGTATAGGCCACAGCCCTTAGGTGGAGCCTGGTGATTCAGTCCAATTCCATACATGTTGGCAAAGGCCCCGCTCACAATAAGATCTTAATTTGCATTTGTGCAAAGGGGCTTTCATCCTAGCAAAGCACAACCTGGGAATCACATTAATGATAAATAGCTGCCACTTACTATCTACTACAGGCCAAGCACTACATAGTATCTCATTTAATCATCACAACTAACCTGCAACATGGGTATTTTTATGCCTGTTTACAAGGGAAAAACTGTAGTCTGTAAAGTTAAACAATTTGCCCAAGGTCATACAATTATTAAGAAAGCAGCTAAGTTAGGGATCCAACCCAAGTTCATCTGAGGCCAAGGATCACGCTCTTTCCATCATGTCACGTTACCTCTGGGAAAGATAAATCTATTGCCTAAAACTCCCAGAGTTCATTTAGGTAAAAAGTAAATGACTGAAGGGCTCTACTCTCTGTTATCAGCAATCACTGGCAAGTGTGTGGCGGGGGGCTTGGCTTGGCTGGTGTGGTTAGCCTCTGGGGATTCCAGGGTGAGCCCTGCGGCAGGGAGAACTGCAGTCACCACTGCTGAGTCAGTCTCTGCTCTGCACCTGCCTCGTGAGAAGGGGGCTCCAGAAAGGGCATGGTGACAAGGGGCTTCCTCTGCAAGGGGTCAGGCTTCCTAGTGAGTGGAAGGACTCCCTGCTCAAGCCTGGGGCCCACAGCTGCGTGGTTTGCATCAGAAAGACAGACACACACGTACACATAGAGAGTACTTTTCTTCTTGTCAAAGTGAGGGGAAGGGGCTGGTGACCTCAGAAACAACTGACTGTCCACCTCAGGCATCTGGAGCTGCTCCTGACCTTCTACCCCATGTCTTACCCCCTCTGTGGGGGATCCTGACAGAGTAACCTCAGGTGACACCTTCATTCAGCCCAGGACTCATTCCCAATAGCCTCCCGCTTCCCCTGGGGAAGGCAGGTGGCAGTGCTGGTAGCAGAAACCAGCGTCTGTGAACACGCGCCGTGTCAGTGTATGCAACTATCCCTGCACAAGTTATCAGGACTCAAGTGCCTTTCCTGACCTCTCTGTGACACTCAGCCCCACCCCTGCCCTTGGCCAAGAATGGGCCGTATCAGTGGCCAAGAGGCCTCTTGGAAGCTTGAAAGAACTGCGTTTGCAGCCTCCACCCATCCCCTCACACGGGGCAAGCGCAAGTGCAAACCTTCTCTGTCAACAAGAAGGGAAGCCATCCAGCTGGGAGAGGAGCACCTGGAGGTGGGGGACGGCCAAGCTTGAGGGGACTCAGGTAGTTTTCACCCCATCTAAGGTGCAAACCCATCAGGCCAGGCAGGCCTTCCCCAGATGGCCACAGACCCCAGAACGGAGGGGGCTGGCTGATGGCCTGCTTCTCTAGTCGGATGTGGGAAGGAACAGTGATGCTGAAGATGGAGGCAGGGCTATGACAGGGAGAAGCCCATGTGCCCACCTGAGGGAGAGAGCCTGTTGTGAGCTGGAGTTTTTGCTGAAACAGGGCGCTCAGCATCTGGTTCTGCCGTTCCAGGTCAAACACCCTCTTCTTCAGCTTGATGCACTCCTCTCTCAGGTCCTGCCGCCGTCGGGGACCAGGCAGAGGAAGAGAAGGGGAGGGTGGTGGGGAGAGGGAGAGCGGTGTGAACACAGTTCTCTTCATCAGGGCAGTGGCACAGATCCTGCCTGGAGGCCCCAGGACACCTGCTGGGCAGGCCTTTCTCCTGCAGCCTCATTCTAAGAGGGATCAGAACCTGCCAATGTCTGTAGCTCTAGCATCTTCTGGGGATGCTAAATTCTCTAAAGTCTACCACCCATGGTGAGGGATAAGTCCCATTCTCTTTGTCACCTTTCCTGTGGCTGGAGCCAACCCCCTGCCTTTTAGAAACCACACATCAAAGAAGGGCCCATATAAGACAGAGGAAGACCTTGGGGTCAAAGTGGCCCATATGTGGAGAAGTTATCCACAGTGCATAAGTAAATATTTAGAAACCACTTATGCTCATATCATTGACTGCTGTAAGGGCCATCACAGAAACCAGCTGGGGCCAGGGTAAGGGAAAGATTTGAGCCCAAATCAGTTACCACAGCTCAGAGACTTGGCCTTACCTAGTCTCACCCCTGCCTCCAGAGCAGTATGGACCTGCCCCTAGTAAAAGCTTAGCTGAGCAGGCTTGGGGTCCCAGAAGGGCGTCTCCCGCTGTACCCAGGGTGTCTGGGTTCAAAGAGAACGTCTTCTGCCACTACTCACCTTCTGGTTCAGCAGTGCCTGCACCACGTGGTTGGCAACCTGGGGACAGAAAGTCCCAAGGCAATGCTGTCAGCTGACCCACCTTCTGCCTGAAGCAGACTAGCCATGCCCCCATTCTCCACCCCAGCGCCAGTCCCACGGCAGGCCCCACAGACCTCATCCAGACAGCGCTCATACGTCTCCCGCTGGTTTTCATTGGCCTGGGCAAGTGCTGAGTTCTCCGCCTGCAGGAGGGAGGGAGGAAGAGGCAAAAAGGAGGCTTTGGGGACTATTCTTGCCCCAGGGCACATTCCTTCTTGGGGAGGCCCCAAGGAGTCTGCTAGCTCCAGCTCTAGGCTGTGATCAGGTTCTCACAGGACGATCAGGTTTTCATAGGACAAGGCTGACACAGAGAAGCAAGAGCAGCAAAAGGGCAGAGTTGAGTGGGCTGAGGAGACCTTGAGCTGGGAGGTGGGCAGAGGAGGCTTCGGGTGCGGGCAGGTTAAGGTTGTGGCCAGGGGCCTGATTTGAGGATCTGCATTCTTGTCCCTTAACTCTTGAGCCTGGGTCAGCCAACTCCTTCCTCCTGTGGCTTGTGACCACTCCTTTTCCCCCAGAGCTAGCAGGGGATTAAAGTTGGGGAGAAGAGAGGTGAAGAAAAGAAGGGAGACGTTTGAGAGTTAGGACAGCACACCCTGCATGCTTCCTGTCCTTGAGCTGCCACCTGGGCTGGAGACCTAAGAGCAGGGAATGGGATTCTCAGAGGAGCTCTGTGAAAGAAAGGTCCAGCTCTCCTCCAGCCTGGTGAAACAGCTGGAGAAGAAGGCCCACCCACACCCAAAAGACATGTACTAAGCTAAGAGGAAGGGGCAGCTCTGCCACCCCCACCCTGCCCTGTGCCGCACCTCCAATTCCCGTAGTCGGTGCAGAAGCTCCTGGCAGGCACCCTGTTCCATGCTGCCATCACCACCCTCTCCTGGCCTCGGGTTTCCAGGACCCCCAGCTGGCTGGTCCATGGCCTCCGACATCACACCCTGGGAACAAGTGAGAGAAGCTCCAGCAGGCTACTCCAGGGCATGGGGGAGGAGAGTGGAGGAGGAGGACAAAGATGAAATTCTTCAGTATTCATGGAGTTTAGATCGGTGTGACCTATGTGCATGACAGTGTAACAACTCAGGATCAGGCTGGGAGGCTTCCAGTCATGGGGCAGACACATAGATACTCTTCCCGTCTTACAAACAGAGACCATTGTTTTAGAAACCCCTTTACTCCCACACACCCTATCATACACACACTGAGCAGGGAGCTGGGAAACCTGATTTCTCTGCTGGGATTAGCCTCAAACTGGAGAGTCATTCAGCCTCCCTGTGCCTCAATCTCCCCATTTATAAGTAACACCAACATCACCTAATCTCACTCAGTATTTACAAACAAGGGTTAGGTCTGCAAAAGAAATTTGAAGAAGTTAAAAAAAACCCTATTTAACCCTTATTCATAACTGTAACAATATTATTCATTCACTCATTCATTCACAGACATAGTCTCTTTCTGTAGCATGGGCTAGAGTGCCATGGCGTCAGCCTAGCTCACAGCAACCTCAAACTCCTGGGCTCAAGTGATCCTCCATCTTCAGCTTCCCAAATAGCTAGGACTACAGGCATGCATCACCATTCCTGGTTAATTTTTTCTATTTTTAGTAGAGACGGGTCTCGCTCTTTCTCAGCCTGGTCTCGAACTCCTGAGCTCAATCGACTCTCCCACCTCAGCCTCCCAGAATGCTAGGATTATGGGCCACTGTGCCTGGCAAATAATAATAATTTAAACTAATTTATTTATTTGTTTTGAGACAGAGTCTCACTCTGTTACCCCAGCTAGAGTGCCATGGCGTCAGCCTAGCTCACAGCAACCTCCAACTCCTGGGCTCAAGCAATCCTCCTGCCTCAGCCTCCCGAGTAGCTGGGACTACAGACATGCGCCACCATGCCCAGCTAATTTTTTCTATATATTTTTAGTTGGCCAATTAATTTGTTTCTATTTTTAGTAGAGACAGGGTCTCACTCTTGCTCAGGCTGGTTTTGAACTCCTGACCTCAAGCAATCTGCACGCCTCAGCCTCCCAGAGTGCTAGGATTACAGGTGTGTGAGCCACCACGCCCGGCCTAAACTAATTTAACAAGACAAAACAATTAAGATTTTGTCCTGATGATCAGTAGTCTCCTGCTTGGGACAGGGACATACTCTAGGTAGTGGAGACAATGGACAAAACCCTGGCTTTGTACCAAAAGGCTCAATCTGACTCTGCCCATTATAAGCTGGGCAAACACATGAAAACTTGCTTAGCTCATTCATTCACTTGGTCCACCAATTGGTCTTCCGTTTCTTAATTCTGAGAAATGGGCAGAAGAATTCTTCCTTTCTTATATGGTCATTGTGAGGATCAAATGTGACCACCTAGGGAAAGCACCCTGAGACCAGCTTACAAAGGTGCTGTCAACATGACTTGTACATTATTGGAGAACAGAGCTAGGCCCAGAGCCCTGAGTTCCAGTCCAGGCTACAGTGCTCACGTGCTGGGTTACCCAGGGTGAGGCCCCTCTCCCTGGGCCTCGGGCTGTTCTTGGACACAGTGGGAGGCACCCTGCATGCCTCCAAGGTTCTCCTTTCTAGCGCCAGCAGCACTGGCACTCACCGCCCTGGAGGAGCTAGGCCCTGGAGGACCTGCCTCTTTGTGCATGCTGGTCTCTCTCCTGGGGTCTCTGGATGTCACCTCCTCCTTTCCACTTGGCTAACTCCTTCCCAGACATTCTTCAGGGCTCCCACACCAAGCCTGGGTTAGGTGCTGCTCCTGCAAGGTTCTATACTGGGCTCCCCCACTAGGCGGTCCACTCCACGAGGGCAAAGACATTGCATTCACTTCCCTGTTTAAACTCGCACACCTCCTGGTGGCACACCCCTGGCATGTAGGAGACAGACTCATGACTACACAGAATACTGCAATGACCACACATGGCAGAGCCAGGGCTCTGAACTGCCACCATGTGATCCTCTCACCCCACCAAACATTGCCATTGTTACTAGGTTTAACTGACTGGTCTTCATCTTCCATTTGAGCTCCAATTTCTCTGCTAGAGGAAAGTGCTTGTTTTCTTCTTCTGCACACATATTGTGGAGGTTTCCAGTGGGAACCTTTCTTATTAGAAAAGAGTGAAAGCCCCCAGTCTACCACTGACTATTCCATTGCCCCTGCCTTGTCCCACTGGAGCCCCCATGAAAGAGGTGCAGAGCTTTTGGACCACAAGAGAGAGGGCAGCAACTCAGCAGCTCACCACCCAGGCATCTGAGCGCCTGCTCCTCCATCCTCTACAGTGGGGACCAGGGGTGCCTCTCCCACCCCCACCATGCACAGGCCCCAACGTCCCTCACCTGTCTCTGCAACCTCACCTAGGTGGGCACACTCACTCTAGCAGCCGGAACGGTCACCTTGCCTGTGGAGAAACAGGGAGAGGATGTCAGCCATGCATTCCACAAGCATTTATCAGGCTCCTGCCACGTGCCAGGCACGGGGACATGGCAGGGAACATGCCAGAGATAGCCCTGCCTTTATGAAGCTTCCACTCTACTGGGTGAGGCAGACAATATACCACGCTGGGTTGTGATAGGCACTGGAGATGACAATAAAGCAGAGACCTGAGTGAAGTGCAGATGAAACCCTGGAGTGGGAAAAGCATTTGGGGCAGAGGAAAGAGCCAGTGCAAAGGTCCCCAGTTCTCAGCCAGGAACCAGTTGGGTAGCAGATGGGAATGAACAGTCACACGCGGTACTTTACGACCCTCGTACAACATACATTGTCTTCTTTAGTCCTCTTAACCACAGAGGGAGTTTATATATTTTAGATGAGGAAACTGAGGAACAGGAAGTCCACGTGCATATACATGGAGTGCAACCTGTGTGACGAGCAGCCCATCGCATCAGGTTCTCCCAAGCTCGGAAGCAGGGGACCAGCCTGGAGGAGGAAGCAGGCTCCGCAGGCAAAGGACATTGCCCAAACCACATGACTGGTGCACAAAGCACCTGGGTAGGCCTGGGTTCCCCTACTCTGTGGCCCTTCTGCACATGTCCAAGGGGTACTGTGAGCCCCACAGGACAACTTACATTTAAGCTCTGTGCAGTCCCAGGGCTCCTCACAGGCAGAGCCCTAGAGCTCTGCAGTAGGACAGATCTAGGTTAGAATCCTGACTCTAAAGAATCTCTTTCCTTACCTAAAAAATGCAGATATGAACACTTAGCCAAAGGGTTGTTGGAGGATGAAATGAGGTAATGTATGTAGAGTGTCTGGCATGAACTCAATACATGGAGCTTGTCATATTATCCCATGCTGACACAGGCACAGTACAAAGCCTGGAGTTGCTGCAGAGCCTGCTGCTTCCTTGTCTGTTCACACAGAGCTAAACCCCAAGTCCCAGGCCCGTCACCCCGGGGTCTCAGCTGCAGGGACACCCGAAGATCTCAGAGTGCCGTCCACCTGCTCTGCCCCTGGAGGCTTCCTCCCAGCCAGCTCTCCGGCCCCAGGGCCAGTCCGGCCTTCACCTTCCTCTCCTGAAACCCAAAGAAGAGAAGCAACTGGATGCTTTGAGGGCACAGGTTACAGTAAAAGGGGAGAATGCTTCTTTCTGAGTGTGTGCGCGTACACGCATGACAGGGGGCAGCAGACTTCTGAAACACTTAGAGGAAAAGGAAAAACTAGGCCGGGCGCGGTGGCTCACGCCTGTAATCCTAGCATTCTGGGAGGCCGAAGTGGGCAGATTGCTTGAGGTCAGGAGTTCGAGACCAGCCTGAGCAAGAGTGAGACCCCATCTCTACTATAAATAGAAAGAAATTAATTGGCCAACTAATATATATAGAAAAAAATTAGCCGGGTATGGTGGCGCATACCTGAGGCTGAGGCAACAGGATTGCTTGAACCCAGGAGTTTGAGGTTGCTGTGAGCTAAGCTGACGCCACAGCACTCACTCTAGCCTGGGAAACAAAACGAGACTCTGTCTCAAAAAAAAAAGGAAAAACTATGTAATACTCATTTTTAACACTCCACAATAATCCTTTTGTTATTTTAACATCATAAAAATGTATCGTTTAGCTTGGTTTGCTTGTAACATTTCATGTTTGATATACTTAGAAATATGTACGCCTGGAAAAAAATGAACAAAATTCAAGAAATATCCTCCTTCCCAAACAAATAGGGGTTAAAACCAAAAAAAGCCACAGGCCACCCCACCCCACAACTCTGGTCTCTCTCATCGTCCTCTCGCTCTAGTTGGAGGCCACGATGCCCAGGAGAGGCCTACGCGATCACTAGCGTTTCCCTTTATCCCTCTCCATTCATTTCCCCACGGAGCCTTTAGGGGAGAGAGGAGTTGGGGGTGTGTGTGCTGTGGAGGGTGAGACAAAGTTAAGGTGAGGGAGGGGACCTGGATGAACAGGGCAGTGCCCAGAGGCACGAAAAAGCTAAAGCTAAAGCTAGGGAGAGCCCAAGGTTTTGTGTTCTTCATACAAAACAAAAACCAAACAAAGGGTGAGAGTAGTTAGTAGAATGCCTTTTCCTAAAAACACAAAAAGGCATGCAGGTTAGGAGCGAGGCCCAGACTGAGCACTGGCTGTGGCTTGTGTATGTGTGTGCCCAGTGTTTTTCTAGGTCCAGGAGGGTGGAGACCCCACACTTCACAAAGCCAACTGCTGCCACCTGCCAAAGCCGAGCCCCTGTGGATCCCGGCATGGGGAGGCCTGAGTGCCACTGGGGGTTGGAGTAGATCCCCCAATTCATAAGCCACCCCAGTGGCTTCCACTCCAGTGGTCCTTCCACGCACGTCTCTGTAGGCTCCAGCTGGAGCCTGAGGAGAGGCTCAGGAAACGCTGGCTGAAGGAAGGCTGTGACTCAGCCCATTCTGGGAGAAAAGCCTTCTGCCCTCACGCCGCGGTGGTCTGAGCCAACTCAGGATGGAGGGGCCTTCTCTGCCTCTGCAGGGCTGCCACAAGCAAGGGCAGGAGGCTGTCAGCTGAAACTGCTCAGAGCCACAGGGAAGAGACACCCGCATGTAAGCTTGGCGGGGAAGAGCACATGCCGTATGAATTGGACAGTAGTCCAAGTATGAGATTTCTAAAAGAAAACTTCCTGTGTCTTTACCCTCCTCTAGGGAATATAGAGATCCAGAGAGATCCCACTACTTCCAGCTCCAAATCGAAGCCTGAGCAGGAATTTGGCCCTTCAGAGTCTGGGTTTTCGGCTTCAATCTCACGGGAAAAAGCCAACCAGTCAATTTCCTGGTGACCATCCCTGCTGGGTGTGAGCAGCCCCTGGGCCTCCACAGACACCGAGCACCCCCCTCCTCCCTCAGGACCCACAACTCCCTCTACTCACAGCCTCTGTGCTCAGCCAGACCCCAGACCCGGAAAACCCCAGGCCTGGGTTTTTCACGATGGCCCTGGTTTCAAACATTCCTCCGGTGGTCCCACAATACATCCCGGATGTTGGGTCTGGAACACATGATGCCGGCCAGGCTGGGTAGGGACAGAACTACCCTGGGGTTGGGAACTCTAACTTGAATTGGAGGCTTCTCCCGCCAGAACTGCCAATGGAGGCACCTTCCCGCCCCCACAAAGGCCTGATTCAGAGGGAGGTGACCTCAGTGCCAAGGGGCGGGGGAGGAGGGAGGAAGAGCAGGCCCTCTCTGGCTTGTCCTTCAGAGTGGGTGTGGGGGGCAGTTTTGGGGCAGCTAGGGATAGGGAAGGTGGAGGCTCTTGCTCAGGGGTCTCTGGATGAGCTGGGGATACAGCTGAATGACTCTGAGCAACCGCTATCTTTTCAGCCTAGTCAGTCATGGGGGGGGCCCCAGTCCCCACCCCTTTAAAGCCAGGAGGGGACAGGGGGATTGAGGGCTTCAGAAGAGATCTGACTGTCCTGGCCTTTCAGTCAGCCAGACCAAAGGAGTGGGGTCTGTAGCTTCTACCTCTTCTCCAGCAGGGCACAGGCAAGACCCCTGCCTGGGCTCTGAGTCCAGGCCTGGGAGGAAGGAGCCAGAGAAGTGGCAGCAAGCCCGTCCTCCAATCCCCCAGCCCCCCTCTCCAGGCCCTCAGCCAAGGCCTCTGGCCCCTCATGAGCCCCTCACTCACCAGCTGTTCCCCCCAGAGTCCTCTAGGGAGAGAAGCCAGGGACCAGGAGGAGGGGGAGGGGTGGGCAGCTGTGGGAAGGCAGAGATGGAGAAGCTCACTTTAATAACAGAATCATCCATAACACCAACCGTTTCCCCTCCGTTCTCCTCCCCAGCTGTTTTCTGGAATCCCTTTCACCAGTCCCAGCCCTTTTTACCAGTCACACCCAAGAGTACACTTGTAAACAGCAATTTCTGCACCCAGGCAAACACCCTTTTCAGCCAAGAACAGCCCTGGGCTGCTGTGGGGCATGGGGCAGTGGAAGGACGGAGGCCTGGCTCACACGGCACTCCTGGCCTTAAAGTGGCCACTTAATCCCTGGCCCAAGGCATGTCTCAGCCCTAAGAATTCCAACCGGTGTCCTCCCTCCTCTGGGAAAGAGGGCAGACAAGAATTTCCTTCCCTCCTTCTGACAACTGGCACAGGAGACACAATGGCCCTTCTGAGAGGCATCTGTCCTTGGGGAAGGGGCCCACTGCACTGACCCTCCCCCCAACTTCCTCTTCACAGGCACCCCAGGAACCTCAACCTCCATGTGTGGGTTCTTGGGACCCGACAGCAGGATCAGTTCCAGCCCTTCCAGGCAGGGTAACATGTCCTCTCCTCTCCCTCGGAGCCCTCCTGTTCCCTGTCCACAGCATAACCAACAGCAAAAACAGCAGCTGCTGGGAATGGGGAGAGGGACGGGGTTCTGACACAATGGGTTTATTTATAGGACCACACACCAGGGGCTCTGCAGCCAAGCCTCCCAGGCCCCGCTCCCAACAGCGAGCTCAGCCCACTCTAGCCCGCCATGGGTACTGGGAAAAGCCTCAGACCAGAAGGCAGAAGTCTAGGCTAATTCTAACTTTGCATTTTGCTTACTTGCTGTGTGACTAGGCAAATCATTCAGTCTCTTTGAGACAAGTTTCTTTGCACCAAGTAGAGGTTCTAGAATAGTGTTTCTCAAAGTGTGGCCCAGGGACCCTGAGGCCCTCTCAAGGGGTCCATAAAAGGTCAAAACTATTTTCATAACACTACCAAGACATCATTTGCCTTTATTACTCTCATTCTGTCATGAGCATACAATGGCATTTTCCACAGACTATGTGGTGCGATATCACAGATTGAATATAGAAGCAGATAGGAGACTCCAGCTGCCTTCTGTTAAGTCAGATATGAAAGATTTGCAAAAATGAAGAACAGTGACACTCTTGATATTTTTGAAAATGTATAATTATATTTGATAAAAATGTTAATGGTTTATTATTTTTATATTTAAATGAATTAAATACATGAATAA